AAATATATTTTTTAATTTATTTCTTAATTAAACAAACAGACTTACTGGGTGAGCAGGGTAGGCTATGACAGCTGTCATATCATATACCCTGCCATGCCCAGCTGATGCAAAGAATAGACTTTATATCTACACAGAAGAAAGCCCTGTCTAGACTCTGCCCCGGTATGAGTTGTGTCGAGCTATTCATTAGTCTGTTTGTTTGATGAAAAATATGAAATTGATAAAATGGGTTATTAATCCGTACAACTGCAGCAGTGGAGGACTATTATTCTGCTGCGTGATACAGCAGAAGAACTGATGATGGCACGGTTTGATCTTCGGCTGACCAATCAGCAGAAAGGGGCGTTTAATTCCCGCCCACGTGTAGAAATCGAATATTCAAGCTGTTTATTCATTTTTCCACCCATGAACGAAAAACGAAAATTTAAGCTGAATTCTCCTTTTTCGTTATTAAATAAAAAAACTAATGATCGAATGATACACGGATTATTTGTGTTCATCACTGAGTTCAAGCGCTTCACACTGGATCTCACAGCGCTGCTTAGAGCTCGCGTGACCGAGTAAACGCATCTGCTCTAGTGAGCTCGCGCCGCGCAGTAGTTTGAACTGTGATCTGAGCGGATAAACGGTCCGTGTGGCGCGCGATTCAAATGAGTCGCGCTGTTTCGTTCCAATTTTGGCGCATAAACATTATATCTAACATTTATCGAACTCTTCATATTGTTTTATCGAGGAAAATTATATCTCAATAATTATCGTTATCGAATTATCGCCCAGCCCTACGTCATAGATAATTTAATAAACAAACAAAAAGTATATGCGACATCTAATGGGTCTCCATACATAAACGGGTCTAAAAAGACCCAAACATGAACCGTTTAACTTTTTTTAAATGGTTAATCTCTTAAAAAATAATTGTAAAAAAATCAGGAAAAATTTTGTATTTTGAGGGTCTTAAAGTACTTGCAAAGTTTCTTTCCCTTACTAAAAATTAAACAGTTTTGAGAATTTTTAATGTATTTCTTACAGGTCAAAATGGACCCGAATGTGTTATTAAATGTAATTTATTGCTGTGATCAAAGCTGAATTTTCAGCATCATTACTCCAGTCTTCAGTGTCAATATTCTGACTTGCTTCTTAAAAACATTTCTTATAATCATCACAACTGAAAAAGTTTTGTAAATCAAAGTCATTGTAAATCAACGTCAGCAGCCGTGAACAAAGAAAAACTTGGCGTTATCCCATAACGGTTGGGGAAAAGAGCAGGAGTTTGGCTGCTGGAACCGTATCCTTTTCAACAGGACAATAAAAGCTGTTGTTGTGCACGACAAAAGTCCTTGTGTGTGCGTCTGCATGCCTAAATGCATGTTCAGAGTGTGGGTGTTCTTAAAAATGCGAAAAACACAAGAGTGTAACATTTCAAACAGTCGTTCCTCTTTGATGCGGCGCTGGAAATGCGCTGGACTCCTACACACGTGTGTAACTCAGACTATTTAATATGTTGTGAAGAAAACACGGGCGTGCAAAACTCCCTGCCGCGATGCCAGAGCTTTCTGGGTGGTTGCAAAAGCGATGTGTTTTACAGGAGAAAGTGAGGGGAATGTTTTATGCACGTACATGTTGATGCACGCATGTCATGCAGATCCGAACAGATTCCCTCAAGCGCATTACTCAAACTGTCCGGCTCTTCTCAAATAAATCTGCAGGTCATGAGATGATGACAAAGACAAACATCATGCCATCTTCCCAAAAAAGCCCCCACTTCTCACTGGCATCAGCTTGAGCGTGATTAATAGCTGACTGCTGTTTTATGTAAGGAGAAACTGTGAGGACCTGTCCAGGCCTGCATGCTGCAGTCGTTTTGTGGCGGTGAGCTGTGAATGAATGGCCTTCTCTGGCTTTTACAGCTCTGCCACGGCTGACAGAAGCTCCACTGCTAAGGAAATGTGATGAACCCCTACACACCTGTGTATCTCAGACAAATCCACATGTTGTGAAGCAAACACAAGCTGTGTTCGTCTGTGTAAAACTCCCTGCAGCGATGCCAGAGCGTTCTGGGAGGTTGCAAAATGGTAAGAGTGATGCAAGTCACTGTTTAAATTCGAAGACAAACATGACAACACTATGTGACTTCCCACAGGAAGATGTTATCGCTCAGAGTTTGCTCAGTTCTCTGTTACGCTCTATTTAATATCAACCTTGTCTCAGATGCCTCTCCTACAATTCACGGGGAAAAATCTGAATATTTTAATATACTACATTTTCTTTTGTTTGGGCTTCCCAAACTGGGGCTCTTGAGTTGATGAAAAGCTATAATTAACTAAATCATAAAGTCATAAAAAGCCATTTTAAAATAAAACAATCAAAATAAAACATTATTTTGACCATTAACATCAGAGAACCGTGAACATGCAACTGTTAAACAGTATTTATGTGCTATTATGTTTTTATAAGTATTTTTTATTAGTGTTATTTATATACTATTGTTTTTATTAAAATTTTGAATTAACTTTTATTTTAATATTTTCTATTTTCATTTATTTATAGTTTTTTTTTTTAATGTTTTTTTGGTCTTTTTTTGTTTGTTTTTAAATATTACTAGGTTTATTTTTCATTTCAGTTTCAGTTTTGTTTACCTGTATGTTATGGGACCATTAACCGACATCAGTGACCCATGTACAAGGGAATGCGTTGTTAAACAGTATAATAATTTTATTAATATTTTGAACTCACATTTTTCATTTTCCATTTTACTTTTAGTTTACTTTTTTGTAATTTTGTTTTGTGCTTTTGTCATTTTTTCTGTAATATTGCTATTTATATTATTTCGGTTTCAGTTTTTATATCCAGTTAGTAATTTTAGTGCTTCATCTTCAACTTACTTCAGTTAGTGGCCAAGGCAACATTTCTAATTTTCATTTAGTTTATGTTTTTCCATCGAACATTGATATTTTATTTTATTTTTTAACAAAAATGTTTGTAATTGTTTTAGTCATCTATAATAACCCTGTTGTTAAATTATTGTTATTTTATCTTAAAATCTCTATTTTATTTCAAAGAGTTTCGGCTGACAAAAAAGTTTGGGAATCCCTGAGTTGCGCCAACGGCTGAAATAAAGATTTGCCTTGAGATGACATTGGAAACATCACTATTGCAACTCTACAAGCAGGGCAGATGTAAACAGGAAGTAGAGCTGATGAAAATAGCGACACTTTAAGGAAGTCCACAAGGCCTGATGAGACTCAAATGACTTCTGCTCTTTATAAAGCAGACAGTGCTGACGTGATTCATCTCTCTCCTGCCCTCTGCGCTGAATAAAGTCAGACAAGGTGCACTGCGTTCAGTCTACCAGACATGCAAGAACCGAATCTGAAGTCGAATAAGATGATTTGAGAAAAAATCAGCAAGTAAATTTCAGTCTGTTTCTAACACCAAGCTATCGTATGGTTCAGAAGACTTGAAACGGACTACTTTTATGATGCAGATTTGCATGTTTACCAACTCAAACATTCTTCAAAACATCTCAGTTTGTCAACAGTCCCTCTTAGATTTGCGCACCACCACCTATATTCGATCACATTTCACAAAATGAGTGTACATGAAGTCTAAAAGAGGAATTTCAAAGCCTCACTATTATACCACATCACCACATTTCTGCATGAGGTGAGCAGCAGCATCGTGAGAAAAGTGCTCGGTAGGCGTCTGGCCTTCTCTCTGTAGGGTTCTGCCCATGAAACACTCTTCTAAGGGAAGGTGGAGGGGAGCAGCCCAGCGGACGTGTGTAATCTCAAACTGAAGACTGCAAAGAAAACATCTGACGCACGGTTCCTCTTCCTTCCTCTCTTGCACCATGGAAACCCAATGAAAAAACATGCAATACAAATGCCCATTCCTGAACAAGACTCGAGGGGAATCTGAAGACTTTGTGCCAGTTACATCTAACTGGCTTTAGATATGATATGATATTTAATGCTAGTTTTAATTTATGTAACACACGGGCACGAGTGTCTTATTCCTTCTACAAAAAACAGAAACAGAAATATGTTCAAATAACAAAACAATAAACCCAACAGTGAATAAATACTTCAATTAACTAACCAACAATTCTTGACAAGAAATACTGAAAATGTTAAATATTTAATATATAATTTAAAATAAACTCTTCTAAAAATATTTTAAATATTGTGTATAATAAATTATTTTAAATTATATTTATTATTACAAAATAATTATATTTATTTTTTATTTAAATCTTACAATTTTTTAATTGCAATTTGTGTAAATATTGTATACAATAAATTATTTTACACAATATTCACTATCATTACAATTAAAAATATAATACTGTATCTTTATTTATTTAAATATTAAATATTTCAATATGTTCAATTGCAATTTGAGTAAATATTGTGTACAAATAACTTATTTTACACAATATTTACTAATTTATTTGCAAATTCAGTTAATACTGTGTATAAAAATATTTTACACAATATTTACTAATATTACAAAAATAATGTATTTACTTTTTATTTAAATATTTCAACCTTTTTAGTTGCAGTTTGACTAAATATTATATACAATATTTTTTTTTTTACACAATATTTACTTATCAAAAGTATTCTTTCATTTTAATTATCTATTAATTTATTTACTTAAATATTAAATATTTACCATTTTTAATTGCAAATATTGTTTACAATAAATTCTCTTTACATTTACAATATTTACTAAAAGTATTATATTTATTTATTTATTTAAATATTAAATAATTAAATATTTTTAATATTTGAGTAAATATTGTCTGCAATTAAATATTTACTTATATTACAATCAAAAATATTTGAAAACAGAAAATGTATAATATTCAACTTAACAATCGCCTGTCACAGACTTCATTTACAAAACGTACAAACACCAAACATCCAAAGCTATTTTATCAACTCAAAATGATTTCTAAAAATCCCTTTTCGAACCGAACCCACCCAAAAATCTCCTACCTTCTCCCAGAACCATGTCCTTTAGTTTCTCCACAGCCTCTGCGAAGCGGGCGACGTCTCGCAGCAGCGAGGGAATGTCCTCCACCTCGATGACCGATGTTTCCGCAGCCTCCGCCGCATGTCCGTAGGTGAGAGCGGCCCGCACGTAGCCCTTATGGAAGCCCCACGTCCCCGAGGCGTGGAAGGCGAAGCCGACGGCGCTGGCGTGACGGCTGAGACCCGAGGGCCGCTTCAGCGCGCCGACAGGTGGACTGCACACTGTTAGCTTGCAGTGGGAGGACGGTGTTCCCGGACAGGATAAGGGACCCGGATCAGGAGGGGCCAGTGTGCAGGAGCCATCGATAGTGTCGTTGGGAGAGTGTTCCTGAAGAATGGACAACTGGGTTTAACATGGGATGGAAAGAGAGGGACGGAGTGTGAATGACGGATGATTATGGAGATGGATATTACGAACAGGGTTAATGCTACATGGGAAATACTAGTGTTATGAATATGGAGGTGATTGAAACAGAGTCAAGTTGAAAACAAATCCAAATCTATTCTGCTTTATTTGTTAATTATTTAACGCCATATCAGGAGCAAAGGCTATTTTATGACAAACCCAGAGTATCAGAAATTCAAATCATCATAATAACAAAAAACCTAAACGAATCAGTGTTATTTTAGTATCATCAAGATACTATTATAGTTTTTATTAATATTTTGAATAAGTTTGAAAATAGAATTAATGCTATTTATTTAATTAATGATATTTCAATATTTAAAGTAAAGTTTTAACTTTGTGTTTTTGTCACTTTTAATATAACCTGTCTGTCGGTATAAAACTCATTCTGTGGTGATTATAAATAAACAGACTTATTTATAACTACAGGCATTATATTATTAAAGTATTCATTAAAATGGTTTATAAATTAATTGTAAAATAAATGTATGAAATGTAATTTCATTGTATTATTATTATTTATATGCACTTTTTAATATTGCCTACTTTATTTATCAGTCTGTTTAAAACTCATTCAGTGGTGATTGTATTTTAGTACACCACTAAACTAAATAAAACCTAACCAAACTAAATTAGACTTTATTCACTGAAAATCAGAGTGAACATTATTCAGAATTACTACTTTTGTTCTGCACAAAAGAAAAAAGTAAATCATGCCCATATGAAGGTGATTAAATGACAGAATTTTCAATTCTTTACCACATTTTAAAGTGACAGTTCACCCAGATATTATCATTCTGTCAATTTACTCACCTTCATGTGCTTCCAAACCTGTATGACCTTCTTTCTTCTGTGTAATATAAAATAAGATTTGAATCATTTGAATGAAGGTAAATAACATTGAACCCTAGTATTTTTCTAAATATCTTAGTTTGTTAAGTTTTGGACTGACAGTGAGTACTATCCCTTTAGGTTCTCTTGTTATCAAGACACCATTTTGACTAGTGCTGGGCGGTATGACCAAAACCGTATATCACGGTATTTTTCTAAATTATACCGGTTTCACGGTACATGACGGTATTTTTTTTTTTCATGCATGACCGGGTGTGACTGTTCAGGTTTCTCGAGTTCAACCATATGGTTCCATGGAGATTCAACAAAGTAATTACAGGTTCTTCAGATCAGTGCATTACCTGTTAACAGTAAAAGTGAAGCCATTCTAGGTTCACTTCTATTCTATTCTTGTTTCCATCTGGAACTGTACAACTAAACTCTTCTTGTTCTGATATGACTCTTGCATAACTTCCTCTCAGTTTATTTCTGGTATTGTTTGCGAAACAAAGAGCAAGACGTACTCAAGTGTTCTTCACCAGACATTGTTCACCACCAGTGACAGTCTTACAGCAATGTTGATCAACAACATGCACCATTAAACAATGAATTAATTACACTTCGCTCTTGAAACAACTCGCTCTTTTGAACCGATTCTTTTAAATGATTCATTCGAACCGCAATGTGTTCGCAGTCAATCGCTGGACGGGTGTGATCCGGTTCACTGAAATGAATCACCCGAACAAACTAATTCGTTACAAATGAATCGTACCTCCCACACATGCCCAATTCTATACAGAATAGAGTACATTTACTCTTTCAAACATAATTCTGTTGTGAACTAACGTAACGTGACTTGAGGAAATCAACAGGATGAATGAGAACCCATCTGTTAAGCGTTTAAAACAAAGCAAATATTGTAAACGCGCAAGTTTTCTGGGAGATTAAACATGTTTTCTCTCTTAAAAACGTTTATAGTAGTTGAATCAACCTATCACTAAACTGAACTCGGTTTTTAGTTTTCCTCAGAAGTGCCGTTGGTCTCTTACCGAAGGGTTTTGCGCAGAGTTGCTCTTTTTGGAGGGTGAGGACGCTTTATTTGTCGGCTCCTTCTTCTTTCGAGAGAACATGTTCGCGCCGTTTGCTCCACTTCACTGAAACCGCACTAAAACTTTAGGAATGAGCCAAAAAAGTTGTGAAAATGTCTCCTCAGGCGACTGACAGTTACTTCCCCATCATCATCATCATAGTTCAGTTGCTCGCCTCGCGCTCTCCTTCTCTTCCTGCTGCGGCGCGCGCCGGTCTCGAGGAAGCACAGGTTTCTTACTTTGTGTCAAGGTAAAGGACTTTAATGGTAAAAGTAATTATTTTTGGCACACAATATATTGAGGTTCGTTTCGCGGACCTGCAATTGTCATGTGACCAGTGTTGGGCAGTAACTAATTAAATTAGCCTAATTACAAAATAAATGTAATTGTAATTAGTTACAGTTACTGAGAAAATGTCACTGCAGGTGCACAGGGTAAAAAAAAAAAACGAATAGTTATTGCATTACCTAGCTGATTGATTACATTGATAATTGCAAACAATTTTTGTATTACAAGTTTTCTAAAATATTAGGTTGCATATGCGCTAATTTGCATACATTTCTAGTACAAAAATCTGAACACTGGATGAAGTCAGTTTCAAAATTCTTTAAAGGGGTCATATGATGCGATTTCAAGTTTTCCTTTCTCTTTGGTGTGTTACAAGCTGATTGTGCATAGATAAGATCCCTGAAGTTGCAAAGACTAAAGTCTCAAAAACCAAAGAGATATACTTTATCAAAGTTAAGACTCTGCCACGCCCCCCTAAAACGGCTCGTTCTAACACGCCCCCACATATCTACCTCACTATGTGGAAATATTAGCATAATGCCACCCAAATGTGCACGCAAAGAAAGAAGGCGTGGTTTCAGTAACCGCAGTTAGTGTTGAAGCAGCCATGTCAGAGAGACGCTGTGTGTTTCTAGGCGAAAGCAAAACCACTTTATTTGGCCTTCCGAAAGTAGACGCATTTAGGAATCTTTAAGATTACTTACAACAGAACAGCAATGCATTTTATGGACGACCGTTTCGTGAACCTAGGAGAGGAGGTAATTCTGACTTTGCTATGACAATCAGGCGCTTCTGAATCAGCTACTGTTTTGTTATTAGTTTAAGTATTTGCTATTGACTGTTCAAATGCGGAGTTTTGCGCATCGCGTGTG